ATTTTATTTTATGAAAAATGTAGAGATGTTTTGTTGTTGTTGTTGTTGTTGTTGTTGTTTTCCCTAAATAGGGTGTTCATTTTCTGAGCAGAATGGAAGCCACATGTCTGTGCCTCTTCACTTGAGATGCAGGCAAAGCTCTTCTCCCAAGAGAGGGAACGGAGCAGGATAATCTCAATGTGGCAGAAAGAAAAGGGACAAGAAACAGAATTTACTTCTGTTTAAAAGAATAAGCAGCAGAACTGGGTATTTTATGGTAAAGGAAAATCTTGTGCCCTAGGCTGTTTATAGGAAAGTATGACTACATCCTGCCTGTAATGGAAAGTTTCTTGTAAACTGTCATGAAGTTTTACTTGAACTTTATCTGAGCCATTCTTGATTTTCACCAGCATTACCTTATCCTTAGAGGAACTTGTCCATAGATTTTTCTCAATACTCAAAGATTTTATTGATGCAGAATTTCCATGAACTTGTGTATACATGCACATACTAGAAGAAGACAAAGAGGATGAGACAGGTCAAGTTGATATAACTGACGATTACCAGCCCTTGCTATTCATAGAACCACAAGAGTCTAGGATATTTTCAAGCTGAATGTGTTACTGTGAGCAAGGTTTGACCATGTCACAGTTACAACTCATTGTACTTGAGATAATGGTCTCTGGGGTGAAAAGAGAGAAATATTCTCTTTCTACATGGCCACAATATCCTCCATTTAATAGCTACTTAAAACCTACCAGTGTTACAATACTAGTGAATCAGTTAACAGTAGACAGACATGCTGTATGCTGTGAATTCTGCTTATTACATTAATCAGAACTGCCTCATTGTCAGTTTGGGATTGCTCACGTTTGTTGTTGTGTACACTGGTTATCCCATTTTTATTTTAATCAAGGATCACAACCTGCTTAAAGCATGTTTTCTTTATGACGCATGTATACAGCACCTATCAGAATGAGTCCCCAACTCCTGGCTGGGAAGTACAAGACACTACAACAGAGCACTTAATAAAGACATTGCTAGCAATGAAAACAAACACAACAAAATCAGCAAGAACAATCATTTGTTATTTCACAACAAAAATGAACAGTGTCAATGGTCATGTTATTGTCATTACTACCACTCGTCTGTATTCTACAGTTTTTCTCAGTCTGATTTCTGGAAACAAATGGAGACTTGGAGATTCAGAGCTGTGCTTTGCTTGAATGCACTCCTTTGTATGTAAAAATGTAAAAAGTGAGAGGTTGAGATAGACTATACACCAGATCTATTACTGTTGAAAATTGTCAATATTCACTTCCATGTCAGCGAAGTGACTGAAAGTCTTACAAAGAGCTTAGTTAGTTCCCTTCCTGCTATATTTTTTTTCCAGGACTGATGATTTGCTGTTGTGTCTAAGATTAGCTTTATAAGGGAATAAATAGAAATATGGCTAAGCATAACACCTTGCAAGTGACTAAAAACACACCCACAAATTAGGAAATCGAATTGCCCCATAAAAGGGATGAACTAAAAAAGGAACCCACTTTCCAGAAAGGAGCTGCTTAAACCCATCTGCAGGAAATGTCAAGGAGTGGATGAGTTAATGCTTAGTTCCAGAAGAGAAGGATGTGCTTCCCTCTGCTTGGGATCTGCAGCTGGAAACCCTTTCCTAGAGCTGATCATCCTACATACTCATTACTATTATTATTATTATTATTATTATTATTATTATTATTAATAATAATAATAATAATTATTATTATTATTTATATATTATATATAATATATTATATAATAATATATAAATATAATATATTTATATATATAATAATAATAATAATTATTATTATTATTAATAATAATAATAATAATAATAATAATAATATAAAGAAACTGTGGCAATGCTTCTCCCTTCAGAAAATGTTCAACTGTTGGAATACTGACACATGAGCAGATCAGTTTAAATTGCGTAATCTAATCTAATTTTAATCTTGACCTGTGCAAATGTACAAAGTACTGGTATCCATGGAAAGGCCTCTTGCTTTTCAAGAGAGGAAGTCTTTATTCATGCCTGCTGAGGTGTTTTTAATATGCAAAAATAAATTCTGGTGAAAGCATAGTGAAGCTGAGAACAACCTTATAGCCTGTATTTCAGCACTCCTTTGGGAGACTCAAGTTTGAAGCAACACTGCAACCTCCACTTAAAATTTTGGAAAAAACAGAACACTTCTAAGTCAAAGGTATTAAAATTTGTCCTTTCTGCATTGCTGCACTGAAGGCATCACTATTTTCTTCTTCCTGCTTTGGTATGACTAGGGCACTTGCTGGGAGTTTCAAATGAAATACATGTACACTAAAAAATGTCCTACTTGTGCATTTGGCTTATATACAGGACTGAGAGACCCTGAGATACTAACCAGTGTCCCAGTTTCCCAGTTTATTTAGTGATGTCTGGATATAGCCAATGAAATCTAAGCATTTGGACTGAGGCTCACAAAGGTTTCTAAGGTCCTGAATCTGAAGCACTCACCATTTCTATTACTCTCAGTTAGGGACTGACAATTAATTAAAAGCTGGCAGGCTAAATCCCTTTGGGGATCAGCTTTCTAGCAGCTACAGACTTTTACAGGCTTAGGCACTGGCTGAGTAAGGTCTTATAAATGCTACTGGCACCTAAATTTTAGAAAGCCTTTGGTGTTTGAAGTAAAGAGCTTAATTCAGTCTTGTCAATCTAGCTCCTTCTGTCTATCTTTAATCTCATTTCATCCTGTCAGAGCTGAAGTTTTCTCAAGGATAGATTTACCTTTATGCTCAGTCCACATTTTCTGGTAATAGCTATTTGGTGTTTGAGAACATACAACTGATACCAAGTGTTGTGATATTTGTTGTAACTAAGATTCTTTGGATGATATACTTTGAAAAATATTACTGTTTTACTGACTATTGCATTATTGTTAATTATAGTCAACGTGTCTTTGTTACCAGACAAACATGGCAGGTGACTACAAGGTATATACTGAACTAGGAATATTGGCCATCTGTACAGAGTAAGACACTGTCACCTGGAAGATAAGGTTTCTAAAATAGTTTGAGCAACTACAGATTAGTAGCAGAGCATGAACCTGCATGCAACATGGGCAGAAAAAGTTAATGTTCAGACTGGGATTTGAGGAATGATTTCATTTCTGTGTGATGTGCTGCTGGGACTCACTCAAGAAATCTATACGTATAGTTCTGTTGCAACTGCTGAAATTGACTTCAAAAATATGTACATGGCTTCATTGTATTTTTTTTTTTAAAGAAAAACAATACTAAAACTTCTGAAAGCATACAGAAAAGAGCTGTTAGAATTATTCAAGAACTAAAGAAAATGCCTTACCAAGATACATAAAGGAGTCATTTTTGCATATATACAGAGAGAGAGAGAGTGAAAGGTAACTTAATTATGGTTTGTTAGTATCTCCACAGGGAGAAAATACTGTGTTTAATTGAATCTTTAATCTATTGAAGAAAGATATAATATCCCTTAATATATATGGCAAGCATTTCACCCACCAGTGAAACACATCTACTTCTGAAAGTAGGTAAGTTAGCAGTGTTCATGAGCAATAGAGAATAATCAAGAGTAGTAATAAAGCAGAATGTTATGGGCAATTGAAACTACAGGAGTAATTTTGCTAGGGAGAATAAAATTTTTCCAAATGGATTTTCTCAGAACACAAGGCCTCAAATTCCTATTCTTTGTAAGTCACTTTATAAAGTGTCACAGCTTCTTTAATGACCAAAGTGGTCAGGACTTCCATTTTCTGCTCCACCCTAAACATATTCTTGCAAGTGATGTGTCACAATGAGAAAACAGAACTGTATCTTTTTTCTCACTTGGGTTTATCGCAAGCTGTGCTCAGCTCCCAAGGCACCCATATTGTGTTCATACAACTGTGTAGCCACATCAGTAATGACTTCTCATGGCTGTGACAGGTTTTGCACAGATAAAACTATTCCCAGTGGTACATTGCATCTCACTATGTATGAACACCATGTCATCAGATGCTCTTGGGGTGTGAAAAAAAAATATGAGTAGCTGCTCATAACTGTCATTTGTTGGAACAAAGACTAAGGTGACAACTGATATAGTGGCCTGTGTTAATTTGACAATGTTCAATTGAAACTGAGACCAGAGCATTTATCTGTTATCTAAGCCAAACTCCTGATACAGATGAATAAGTAGGGCATTCATTGTTTTTGTGCCACTTTGTCTCCTAAGCATTGCAAGGACATAAGAGCAGGTACTATTTTACATCCACTTTCTGCCTCAAGTAATGTTCTGAGTTTGACTCCAACTATTTGGAAAGCAGACACTTTGCTTTTCTAATAGAAAATAATTTTGTGATGAAGTTTAGAAAGTGACAAAAAGTCTTGATGCCTACACACACTGCTTGCTATCACTGAATTAAAGCACAGTCCCTGGGGAGAGGAGAATGTGGAGCAAATGGCAATACAGACTAAATCGTGACAGACAGAGAAGACAAGCTAAAGTTTATAGAGATGTAGAATAAAAAAGGAAAACAAACACTGCCAAAGAAAGTCTTTATCTTTCTGTCTATCTATCTCAGACTGATGTGGAAGTGATGCCCTTCCCATTCTCAGCTCCTGTTTCTAGCAAAAGTACTAGTACGAAAATCGGTACTATAAGCCAAGTAATTCTCCTACTCTCCTTGTAGACAAAAAAAAAATCTGAAAAGAAATTTAAAAACTTCTCTACCCTGAAGCTCCATAGTTGATGTGTACACGGAAAATTTATGCTAAGCTTTCTCTAAGTCATGCGAACTCTTAGTATCTCTCCATCTTCACTTTCAATAAAGCAAATCTTTGATATCACCACTACCATCTTTTCAAAGTCTTAGTATCATGATAAATTCATGAAATAAAATTAGAAGCACTTTGAGACCGTTCCATTTACCATTTAGGTTTTTTTCAATTTTAAGTTCAAAGATTTTAATATTTTTTTTCTTTTTCAGTTATGATGACTAGAAGTTGTAAAAATATACTTCAAGAAAAACTGAGGATTTGCAGACAGCATGACTCTCAAGGTTGGGGCTCTTGAAAACTCACAACAGTTATGAAACACAGAATGAAGTCATAAGGCTTGCCAGCACAGAATGAGTAAAGTAAGAAAATAATCTTCATAAATTTGTGTCCCAGATACCTAGCATATCTGCTAACTTTTGCTTGTAGACTCTGTTAACAATCAGAAATTTTACTTATGTATTTGAAATAACATATTTCTGATTTGTTTATCTGAAGGTTTATACAAGAATTTTTTCTCATCAAAGGAGCCTTGACTTGGAAACTCAATTTGGACAAGAAATAAGCATTAAAGTTGCATAAGAAAATCACATCAGGAAAAACTGACATTCAGTGAAAAAAGCTTTGGTGATGGAGAGAAAAAATCTACCTTCATCTCTCTGGATTTTTTGAGCTATGTTTTTTGTTTCTTTGTTTGTTTGTTCCTTTACTCTAATTTTTTTTTTTCTGTTTTTGGCCAAACTCTTCTTGCCTTCTCATTTAATTCAGCTGTTTTATTGTTTGCTTGTTTTTAGTATCCCTATATTTCAGCAAACTGTATCCCACAATGTTATTAACTTAGTATGTTTATATGCTATCTTCTCTACTCATTATCAAGAACTAATCACACACTAGTCATTGTTTTTGTTTCTAAGTTATTATAAGGAATAGTTATGAAGTTTTATGTCACAAAATTTTTATATACCTAGGCTCATAAACCGATGCAAATCTTTGTTTATCTTACAGTGAGCAATATGTGCATTCAAATTCTATAAACAGGTTTATTTACACTTCAGAGGATCTGAAAAGAAAGAAACATTTATTTGGCAGAAGTCCTGTTTTAAGATGGGTTTTATTTTCTTCCACTGTCTGAACATCACAGAGTTTGGTGCAATACCTTTACTATTTGAGTAGTTCGTGGCAGCATCTTATACACCTCTCAAAAAGCTTACTAAATGGAGGAAATACAGATACCACTGCAAAGCCAAATCAGAGTGAAATGTCATTGGAGTTTTCATACTGAAGATAGAAAATGTTGGTTTTAGGCATAATATTTATTCCCTACAATTCACTTTCTAAATATGATCATTTTCTTGATCATTGCATTTCAATAGTATAAATTGAATTTATTTCTACCTTGAAGAGTCATAATGAGACTGCTGGCAAACTCCAGGCATTTATATTTCCCATAGAACAACAATCCCAAGACAGGGTTACTACTCCTCTCCTACAGTGTTAGTCAACTCAATGTAAATAGAAGCTCTCAATTCAACAGGGCTACTCCACTATTTTGCGATGGATCATTTGGTTTCTGACCACATGAGACTGTTCTCAGGAAAAGCAATCTCTAATTACATGGATCAGAATGGGCTTATGCCAGGAAATAGCCTGTGCCTCAAAAATGACTCAAATAACAGCTTTCCTTATGTCGCGTTAAAGGGGTGTAGCTGATTAACCATCACGGGCCCGTTTGGATTCAGAGTACTGAACCAGTCGGACATTCACCAAAACTGGGGGTCCGTTCGGACAATCACCAAAAACGTAATAACCGCCTGGGGGTCCACTCAGACATTCACCAAAAACGTATTAACCACCTGGGGGTCCGTTCAGACATTCACCAACAATGCATTAACCGTCTGGGGGTCTGGTTAGATTCAGAACACTGAATTATCACGGATAATCACCCTCACCCAAGTCGCATTAATGAAAGCTATCACAATGCAATCAAGTATGGTTTATTACAGCAACAGATAATCAGGTTCTTTTGGATTGCCGGTGATAGTGACTGTCTGCAAAAGCAAGCTAGTATGCATGAAATACACGGGTGTTATAGGTGTCACAGATGTTACAGATGTTACAGATGTTACAGATGTTACAGATGTTACAGATGTTACAGATGTTACAGATGTTATAGGTGTTATAGGTGTTATAGGTGTTATAGGTGTTATAGGTGTTACAGGTGTTCTAGGTGTTACAGGTGCGCAGCCTAGAAATAAACGCGTTAAAAGGATCAAAGACTCTATAGAGATTTATGAGCAAATATTCAGATCTCACCCAAAGGCGTCCCAATGGGGGGGGAAGAGAGGCTCAGCCCGTCGACTGATCCCAGGAGTCAGGAGGTCCTAAGGATGTTGTATGTCCTCGGGATGGTATCTCCCCTGACGATGGTATCTTCCCTAACATCCCCTCTCTCTTGGGCCAATTTATATTATTTTCTATCTTTTAGGTGGAGCTTGAGTGACTCTAGTCAAGCATATCTTAGTTATGATTGGTGTAAAGTTTTCCCGTCTCCGTTTAAAGTAATAGGCTCCGAGAAATTCAGAGCGCATGCTCAGTGAGGGGTGGTCGCACCTTGGAGGCGGGTAGCTTTTGGGATGGAGGTGTGTTTTGGTATTATAATGATATTATAATGAGCAAAAAGAACACTAGGGTACAGCATTTGTCAAAACATGACGGGTCTTTGGCTTAGGGTGGCAAAAAGTGCAGCTTTGTGCACAAGAACAATCGAGGTCCCACCTGATCACAGAGCCTAGCCGTGGTGTCTCCACTCCACTCCACGCTCCGTGGTGTTCCTTAGAGCTAGCACACCAAGTTTCCACAGCGCGATAGCATCTAAGGTTGGGAGCCTAGGGAACGCTCAGATAATGCAGTTATGCCCTACCCTGAAAGCCTCTTCAATGCTGTACCTTTTCCTTAAAAGTGTGAATGTTAGTTTTATTCTCCTAGTTACTTCAGGCATTTACACCACACCTTATCACTTTCAAATCCTCGTATTTTTGAATTTATTATTTTTTTATCCTAGAGAAAGGTACAACTGAACATTAGAATGGGAAGGAAATTGTAATATATGTATATTTGTGAACTAGTTTCTTCATAGAAGATGCTTCCTCTCTTCTATCCATGTCCAAGTGAAGGTGCTCATCACCCAGTACTGACAGGAAAATGGGACTTTCACAACTACTAGTGCTCTCCCAGTGTGATGTAGGTGGATTCAGGAAAGTAAAATTTACTTTTTCTGCCTCTGAGTATTTGCTCATTTCATATTATGATGCTATAATGTCTGCAAAGTTCAAGAAGATTTGTAAAGCTGTTTTCTCAGGCATTATTTTTCAAAATCATTGTGAATGTTTCTTCAGCTGCCACAAATTTTTGAGAGATATGAGCACACAAAGGGCACAGGACAGTTAAGCTTAAGAACTAGAGATCACAGAAAATATATAGTTTATTTTGAGTAGCTAGGATAAAGCAATTTCAAAATACAGGGGCTTTATTTTGTTGGTATGAAGCCAGCTGCTACAGCTTGTCTACATTTATAATTTTATTAATAATAAAATTTTATTAATAATAAAATTAAATATGTACATGTTACGTGGGAAAATGTATTCTGGAAACTCTGCTGACTTAAGTTCAGGTTGCTTTGTTCCACCCTGCAGGTGAAGGAGGCCATGCTGGCTGAAACCTGATAAAATAGTTTATCACATAATTCTGCACTCCACAAATGCTACACTCTACAAAGGTAAAAAATCCTGATACCCTAGACTGTTTTAGACAGTTTTTAAAAATGTCATTGTTGCTAGCTTTTTATATGCCTCTTCTTTTAAAGCCTTGCTTATTTATGTATCTAGATGTACTCAGGACTATGGTAGAGGGAGCCCAATAATCCTCTAAAATTACCTAAATGGCTATTGTACATTTAAAATGTTGTAGTTTTAAGTATGGTGTTGTAAGCTCTTCTGAGATGAAAGTTGATCTTTCTGGGAAATTATGAAGATCTCTTTTTTTGTTCTGCAGTGTAGAAAATATACGTTATTGTTACCGTGAGGTCTATGTATCTGAAGGCAGTATTTGAAGTTACAATGGAATGCTGCTGTATTCCGTGTCTATGAAATTTTAAAAGATTTTTTTTAACAGGTAGAGTAGAAGAAAAGCATTTGTGGGGTTGTTTATTAACATTAGACAGAACCACTCTATGGACTGTGAAACTCTAGGTATTCAACAAACCATGAGATTTGAAGCAGAGTTACAAAACTTGAAGGATAGTTTGGACAGAAACAAAAGGCGGTGGTGTGTACAAGGGAATGGTTTGTCTGCCAATGGGAAGTACTGAATGAATCCCTAAATCTTGCTGTGCTCATGCACACAGCTTTTCCTTTACCTATTAAACTGTCTTTACCTTTACTCACAACCTTTCTCACTTTTACCATTACAATTCTCTGCTCCACCCCACTTTGGGATAGTGAGCAAGCTGCTTCATAGTGCTCAGCTGCCTACTAGGGTTACCCCCTCCAAACAATGAGTTTGAGAGCTGTCAACCTTGTTTCCACTTGAATACAGTTCATTAAGTGAAATTTCATGTGGCACATCTACCTTAATGTGGCTTGTATTTTCCTCCTCCAACAAAATTTTTGGTCATTTTGAACCAGTCAGAAAGGAATAAAACAGTTAGCAAAGAAGAAAAGCAAATCAAACAAGAAGGTGGTTGTGATGGAAAAAGAAGCTGGAAGACAGGGAGAGATATTGAGGCATGGCACTTAATTAAATGGTGATGTTCAATAAATTTGTGACTGAAGTCAATGAAGGAGTCATTGAACAGCTTACAATTATCATATCCAGATATTATAGAAAAATGCATAACACCCCAGTTTTTGACATAAATGCTTAAATTCCCTTCTAGGTGGGTTAGGCAAATGTTGACACCCTGTGGATCCCTACCTGCACTAACACAGTCGTGCCAGTGTGACAAACTCCCCAAGGAGAACTATTTTGATAGAAAACTTCTCCTGTATGTATGGAAGGTAATGATATATCCAGGAGAACTGGTAGTCATTTGTTCTTCTGACTTTTCTAATACCAGCTCTCCATATGGTCTCTGAAACATCTATCACAGCACTTTCTGTTATACTTTTGATGCCTTGAAGAATTTTCCAGGATTACCTTGAAGTCCTCACTCATAGCGATTCCCCTTTGTGAAATTCAGTGTCTTGGTTTGCCCAAATACTTTGAAATCATCCTTAATTTAAACTGGGTTAAATGCAAGTAGTTAGTTGCAACTTACAAAGAGAAGAAATTTGCTTGATTGTCTACCATTAAACAGAAAAGGCTCTCAGGCTTTTTTTTTTTTTTTTTTTTTTTTTTGACAGGGAAGACTTTTGTCTTGCCTGACAGCTACCTGTGAAGAATTCTGCCTTTCTCCTTAACATAGTATTCAGGCCATGCTCAAAGCAGAGAATTACAGTGTTCAATAATTGAATATTTTTATTAAAACAGACTGCCTTTTTTAAAAAGCCTAGGAAAAACACACATAAAACCTGCTAAATTTTGTTTGGAGGTATAAGCTCTCTGAATTTAGGAACTGCTGCAATGAAGGTTGTCTGAACCGCCTTTTGAAGTCTCTCTTTCCCTCTCAGATGTTCTTCGAACATCTTTTTCTGAAGGCAAAGAAATCCATGTATTGAACAGGACAGAAGACGATATGAAGAGAAATGATAACCTGTTTATGAAAGTTGTTCTCTGAGTTGCATAACACTTTGTAGAGCATTTTATTTCTTCATCAGAATTCCTGCATGCTGAGCAAATCACTACAGCCACAGTCATCAAAGGCAACCAGTAAATGTTTGGTTCATCTTCGTTCAATTTAGATGTTTAAAGTGTCTGTAGTCAATGGAGAAATGGGCGCTTCTAGAGGGCGATTCTTCACAGCACTTTTACAAGTTTGAATGGCATGAATAATCCTCTTATACAGCAGACTAGAACAAACTGCTAACTTTTGGAACACCTCTCAAAGAATAAGATATATCTCACCTAACTTCAGTCTACAAGCAAGGTAGATTTTCTCAGCTAGTTAGCTAGGTTTTCTCTGCTGCCAATGGGAGGCACTTCCAAAAGGCAGTTCATTCTGTTCTAAAACTCTTCTCTAACTGATGAAGACACTGGGTCTCTTGAGGTTCCTGCCACTCCATTGACTAGACAAAGTAGAAGCTTAGAAAGCTAGTTCAGTTTGGATGCTTAATTATTAAATAGATAAATAAAATTTAAAAATAAATTAAATTAAATTCAACCTAAATGTTTGTTTGTTTGTTTGTTTCAGCTTGAGATTCAGATCTGAATTTGCTGAGGTTTTGAGTACTAATAGCTGCAAATTAAATCAGCAGGAGCCTCTGAACTGAAGAAATGTTATAGAATACTCAGAACTCTGAAAAGTGGGCAAAGAGATAACACAAAGTGGATCTACTACAATTAGTGGATAATCATTAGGATCAATATCAAAATGTTTCAGTTCACTGTTTCTAAAATGGGATAATGCCAGCCTTTCACTAGGCAAATATTTTCTGAAAATAAACCAACTGTTGTCTGAACGTTCTAATAATGTGTATCACAGAATGGCTCCTGAACAAATTAGTAACTA